ATATATACATAAACTCAATAAACTAGTCTTTTTAGAGCTATTTCAGCCTGAAATAAAAATATTAATTTTGTTTATTTTTTACTTTAATCTTTAAAAGTCTTTATAAAACGCTACTTTATTTTAAATCGACAAAGTATTTCTTTTATAGCATTTTTTTTTAAAGGGCATTTTCCTCATTAGTACGCCCAAAATGATTGTTGCCTTTTTTTTTAAATTCCAGTCCGGACTTTCATGAAGACCCTCCACCGAAGCCTGTTAGCCAAAAATGAGGCCTTGTTTTCAAAACGTCTCCTGTCTCTCAGTGATTGGACATTTTATTTTTTTATCATTTTTTTTCTTTTAATCATTGCTTCTATGTATTTGTTTTAACCCTACCCGTGGACAACGCCAGTTTCTGATTTTTTTCTTTTCTTTTACCGACCTGGATATACTAGCGAGCTGCAGGAGCACAGCGGCAGTCCGTTGTTATCAGCGGTGGAACATCCAATTCTGCAGCCTGCATGCATGGGAAACAGCTTTTAGTACGAAATGTTTACTTGTGCACACTACAAGAGAATTTTTGCTTTTTACATCCAAACCAAAACAATTTTGTTGGACGAGATGAGAGGTGGGACTCAGCAGGGACGTTTATCTGAGAGGAAGTTCTGTTTGTAGGTCCTGATGCTGCTCAGTAATCCAGGTAGAGAAATCTAACAAGGTTGAGTCAGGTCCTCTGGACGGATTCGTCTTGATGAAACTTTTCGTCTTTTATCCAAAAGACTTGGGGCGGCTGTGGCAGAGTGGTTAGAGCTGTCATCCTCTAGTGCAAGAGCTGGGGGTTCGATTCCACCAGCAGTCACATGCCAACGTGTCCCTGGGCAAGACACTGAACCCTCATAGCCTCTGATGTGTGTCCCAGTGTATGAATATGATAAAGCTCTGATTATTATTTGAATACAGATAGTAGAGTGCTGGATGAACGGGTACATGAGGACACAGACTGTAAAGAGCTTTGAGTGTCTTGATAAGATAGAAAAGTGATATATGAACACAGTCCATTTACTTCTTCAGTCTGAGTTGAAGTCTGTCAGAAATTCTTTACAGAGTCCTTCAAATGTAAAAGCAGGCACCACCTGGTGATCCAATATAAACCTCAAAAGTATAAAGACGGATGTAAACATAAATAAAAACATCACTGAGAGGAATGCGTGATGTTATGATATGATAAATATGGGATTATTTCCAGTGTATTCTAATGTGGTGGGTTTTCTCCTACGGATCACGAGAGTTTAGTAAAGTTACTCTGAGGTTATGTGAGGGCATTTGAAAAATTTCTGACACAAAAAAGTCGACGGATTTTTAGGCTTTGTCAGAAAAAAAATTTATTTATTGACTGCAGCCAAAAACTTAAGCACAACAAAAATAAATGCGTGGCTGATTTTTCACCAAAAGACAATACAGAAGTTACCCTGCCCCAACCCCCACCTAATTAATGACAAAAGCAACTTGAATCACACGTTATGAGGTGCAAGAATAGATTTCTAAAAGATGCTGACCTTTCACCTTCTTGTTTTTTTGTTGCTGAGTAAATCCACAACAAGTGGACAATGTCTGG